CGGTGTCATTGCGTCCATTTAGCGGCTACGTTGTTATCTTCGCTTACATTAATTATATAAGTGCGCCTGCTGCATGGCCCCTAAGGAGAACTCAGGTAGCTCAAGCTACCTTTCGTGATCAGTGCCATTCACCACCCCAGGGATTTTGCGTCCAAGAGTCTTCTCCTTGCCCAAGCTGAACCTGGGTTGCGTTTTTGATCGTTTTTGGATGCAACCTCTCTCTCTCTCTCGGAACCTGTGGTGGACACAATGAGCACAAACCGAAGCTCCTAAGTCCTATACAATGAGTACAAGCCTCAAATCTGCTCCCAGCGGCTACATGCCTACGCAACCACTGAACTAAAGCATCACCTGCAGTCGTCTGGGTTAACAAGGCCAAGCGTGTCAAACCCGAATTGCCGGATCGGCACGGGATGGACCAGGAAGCTCTGGAAGAACTATCAACTACTAAGACAAAGAAAGACGCATCAGCAAATGGGAGAGCTCAAAGAAAGACAAGCAGCAGGCCGAATGCCATCTCACTACCACCCTTCCAGTACCTGAGCTGTCTACTGTTGATTTTGTCTATTTCGTTTCTGTGCCAATTGGATCGGTGCAGTCTCAACACCAGCAATGCAGCCCACATGTGGCATCTTGAAGATCCTGAAGACCAAAAAAATCCAAAAAAGGCCAACTGAAATGTGGGCAAGTCACGATGTCTGGAACCTCAGACTTCGAGTTGGTGGATGAAATCCGGGTAGGACGGGAAACTCATTGTAAATCTATTGCATGCCAATTTGCTGGAAGGAAGGGGAACGGGGTAAGACCGGGCAGGCTGTGAGTCAGTGAGGAAGCCGTGGAAGCTATGTGGCATATATATATATTTATATTGTATTGTATATCAGGTAGCTAATTGGTAGTAAGCTTACTGTTAAAAACTCCAAGCAAGTAAGCTTGCGCAGTAACATTGCATTGTCCCAAATCTTTGTGTTCTGCACCATATCTGTATACAGTATACACGTATATCTAGAGCCGTACAAACCTTTGGACTGTAGAGCTTCCCCTTCTCCCTTCAATTCAATTTAATGCTCCCAAAGCCCCCTAGTTCTCCGGTTCTCGACAATTGCCCAAACGCCGTGTTCGACATTTGTGCCAAAACTTGACAAGGGGGGCAAAACATGTTTCATGCCAGCATCCAGCAGATTCATCTGTCGCATGCTCAAAAGCCGCTACGGGGCTGCAGGAAAGATCTGTATTCTGCCTAAGCCGTCCAAGTCAAGTAAGACACCTGAAGAGGGTGGCCCTAGCAAGCCATCTCACTTTCCAACAAATATGTTTGGGGACTGCTCCATCAGCAGTTAATGCAAACCCCGGATTAATCTGCCCCCCCCCCCACGTAGAAGGTCAACAAGGTCAAGAAGGTATGAGATACCACTCATGAGGTCCACTCCCCCTGAATTATCGGCTCAGGGAGCCATCGTAGTCGCAGCCGTCGTCGGTAGTAGGTAGCAGGTAGCAGGTAGCAGGTAGTAGGTAGTACGTAGTAGGTAGTAGTAGTCACAACAAGTTTAAACAAGCACAAAGAAAAGGCCAGGGACACAGGATCAAATTAATAGGGGGTAGTAGTGCAGATTATTGATGGGGGACCGGCCCTTGTGAGGGGTACCCTTTGTGAGCTTGTCAAATGATTGTTTTTAGTTGTTTTTTTTTAATAAGGCAATTTATAGGCCCTGAGCCCTAGACATTTTTAAGGATTTCATCAAACATGTAGTAGGTAGTAGGTGGTGATGGTGGTGGTGGTAGCAGTAGCAGTAGCAGTAGCAGTAGCAGTAGCAGTAGCAGTAGCAGCAGCAGCAGCAGGAGTAGTAGTAGTAGCAGTGGTAGTAGTAGTAGTAGTAGTACGAAAAATTGACCTGGTTGTGGGATCGGATTAACTGGGGGGGATTGTTGGTAGAAAACTAGACCATAGGGGGGAAATCAACAGCCAATAATACTTTTAATTTGGGCAATTTCCGGCGACTTTGTGGGCTCGGATTAACTAGGGGGGATTTATTAATCCTGACTTTGCATTGTATACCATGGGTATCCATGAGTTTGAAGTCGTCCATTTCTTTTTGGCCCCGCAGGCAGCACGGCAAGGGCTGCGTCAATGAGCCTGAGGGGCATGAGACCCTTTTGGACTCACAGCTTTTCTCAGCGTTCGATCGAATGATTCGTACTAGTAGGGTCCTCTTGTTCTGAGTGCCATAAACTTGTCTGTGATCACCGGTGCTCTGGCATGGCCTCAAAGGAAGTCAGCCCCAGCACGAGAGAGCCAAGGCTCACCTTTGGGATGCGCAACTACGATCCACCTGAGCTGAAAACACTGCCAAACAAGTTCTCTCACAATTGGCTTCACAGGCTTTAGCCTTGGTAGTTCCCAAAGTCTTGAATGCATGACTATTTGATTGATTAGATCGGACCTGCGCATCGCTTGCAAATTGCACATATTCTTGCACAGAACGACACCTTCTAGACAATTGGCTGTGGCGGACACGTTTGTCCAAGTGGCTCGTGCGCTTGTGGCTGATGACTTCTCTCTAGCTGGTCCAATGCCTCTGGTATGCGAGGCATGCACTCCCGTCGTTTCATTGTGTGTATATCAGGAAAAGCAGTCACACTCAAGCCAAAGACCTCCATCAAAAGTGTGAATACTATATACATCAAAAGTCCATGCAAAGGCCTCATCTGATGCCAAGGGGAAAACATATCTCCACCGCATTGGATGGCCTGAGTTGTGTTCTTCAAAGGTGCATGGCATGCTGAAATGACAAGTGCAGAACAAACAACGCCATCCATTACCAACTTTAGAAGTGTTGCGGGATGCTTCATAATCTGGTAGGACAAGTAGCTGATGACTTTTGCACAGGAAAGGCCCACTCTTTCCACCATGTCACAAGCCTCCTAGGTTTGCAGGCAGGGGTCTGAGTTAATATTGTGGGACTCTGCGGCAGCTCAGACAGCTTCGGCCGCAAAAATGTTGTGGATGCAAAATGGTCTCAAAACATGCTCCTTCTCGGTGTAGTGCTTGGTGCGTGCGTAGACCCGAAAAACGTTGTGCGCTTCTTCTTCTGGATGCTCCGACAAATAGTCGACATATTGGCCGAGCCCACTCTCCGCTCCACCTGCTCAAACTCTCACGTCCTGGTTCCTGCCTCCTTGTTAAATTAGCTGTCTTCTGAGTTTGTTTGGGCTGCCTTGAACACTTGAACACCAGTTGCTATTCATCCTGGCACTCTTTAAGACTTTCGGGGGATTGACATTGACATCTTCATTAAAATCATATTATATATATATATATGTGCTCAACCTTCTAATCCGACATGCCATTCTGTTGTTCGTGGTCTCGGAGACCCGATTTTTCACTATCCCTTGGCCAGCCGCCAACACGACACGCGTCATCATGCGTCACACTTTGAGAGTTTCGAGCTTCTCTCGGTCTGTGCCTTTAGAACAAGTCTGCAGCAGAAACATGAAGCACTGTAATTAAACTACTTTGGAAGGCTCCAGTTTCAGGTTTATTGTTGGAACTGGAGTAGTAGCTGGTCACCACGACTGTGGTAGCTCATTTTCACTTGTATAGTGAAACCACTTGGGGTGCAGAAAGCAAGCTCTGCCGTGAAAAGAAATGAGCAACCCATATCAAATCATAGTTTGGGTAAGTCCTGTTGCTTTTGGTGTTTGTTCGGTCCTGAATCGGTATTTGCCATCTAGCCGTTGGACATCAACATTTCGTGCGCCCAACACTATCATGCAACCACAGCTAGCTACCAAAGCAAACAACTCGGAAGACACAATTGACACCACCAAGACCAAAAGTGCCACACCCCTGAAAACCGATGAAGGAATGAAGGAACATATATTCTCACCAGGAATTGATCAACAACTATCAAAAAACAGGTAACTACGGCCCTCATATTGTTCGCACTGTGACACAGTTGACATGGTTCCGGGAGCAAACGCCGTGGCGACTGTGGAAAAATGGCACCTTGCTGTTGGTAGAGGGCCCGCACTGCACGGAAAGACTCAGCGCTCGGCACCAACAACAGCAGCGTAGAGCTCGGCACCTCAAAGAGCTTGAATGATGAAGGCAAACTGCACAGGTTGGGAAACCGCATGCGATCCAAAAGATTCAACAAGAACTATCAAGAACTAACATATCCATGACCCCTACGTTAGATGAGGCCCTGCCCCTCCAGCAAAAAAAAGGAGGGTACCTACCACCTTTTTTTGGAAATTGCTTGAGGGTACCTCTGGGCCTCAATTAACTTTCTATACCAGTAGATTTTGCTTGGGGTGGGCCCCCTAACAATCCTAACACACCGACTACTCACAAACCACTGAATGAATTTTCACTCTTTTCCTCGTCCCCGGCCCCCATCGCACAGTTTGTTTGAGACGCTGGAAATAGGAAAAAAACGCAGGAAAACATACACACAAATCGCACAAAACCCTACCCATAGGATAGGGACCTCACCAAGAATGAAACATGCTCACGCAGTTCATGCGGTTCCCTAGAACATCGCAAACCTCTGCACACTAAAAACCAGGCACGATAATAGCCAACTACAACGCATGAGAACCAGGCAGGAAAGTAGCCACCACTCAAAACCAGGCAGCAAAAATAATTCAAGGGGGTGGTCTCCGGCGTGATAAGGACACCCCGGGAAATGCGATGCATCACCAGCTCCACACTAAAAACCATGCAAGCAAGTAGCCACTACACAAAAAAAGCAGGCAGGAAAGTAGCCACCGAACTCAAAACCAGGCAGGGTCATGTGTACTGTCTACTTGAGAAATAATCAAGAGGTGGAGAGCTTGCACGCCCCTCAATTGATAATCAAAATGAGTTAGGCCATCAACTAGAACACTATGAGAACCGGCCTGAGCATGAGTCAGTGCGGTGGCTACTTTCCTGCCTGGTTTTTGTGAGGCTGGTGATGCATCACGTTTGCGAGGGTATTCATTGTATTCATTCGTTGGTCTACTTTGCCTCCTTCAGAAACTTAACTTTCCCAGTCTATGCTTGCCAACCAAATTAATATGCCCCTCCTCCGGAGGCAAACCTATTATCCGACTTAGGTTTCCACCAAACATGTGCGACAAATTGTCGGAACAAAAAACACCTTGATTGGGAATAAGTAATTGCTGGGTCACCCCCCTCCAGTTAGTTTTTTAGTGGAGGGTCATACACATCATATCCTATCGTCCTATCCTTCTAAGTTGGGTTAGCTTTCCTCTTTGGCAATGGTTGAGGCATATTGAACATAACATTCATGCCGCTGTGGGCAGCTGCTGTTCGGGGCAGCTGTGACCTGCCGCCAAAGCGCTGGACGCAACATTTCAGCTTCTCGACGGAGGATGTTCCTGATCAATGACCAAAACAACACCCTCGACAAGGGGTAGTTGTGATGGATGCGGAGGGCTGTATCCAATCTGCTGTATTGTCTGAATGAGTTACATGTGCCACACGACACCTGAAAAGTAGTTGAAATTTGTTTCATTTGGCTCAAGAAGCCTTTTGTTGGCTGAGCTCCTATTCTTTCCTCTTGGACACTGGGCCAAGCATCTCCCTTGCTTCTTTGTTCCTTGGTTCAATGTAAATGGACTCGGAAGCACTGGAATGGGAGCTGTGGACTGGTTGGATTCCTTTCGATCGACCGCCGAGCGACGGGGAGATCAAAACGTTGAAGCTCGCCACCAAATCCGCCTTCTCTCGGGTTCCAGGCACCTCCGGCCCACAAAAGACCTTCCCATCCGTCTCTGTCTTGGAACAGGGCTGACCCAGGTCCACAGCGGGACGGATCTCGACCTCGGTTTGTGGTTTCGGCTTGGTTGATGGCAACGCAGCAACTTACATACATACCGCTTATACCGCCACCGGTTATAGATTACATTTAGAATTGAATCGGCATGCATTGAAACCATACCCCCCCCCAAAAAAAAAACAAGCTGGATAGGTCTGAAGTAAACTTGTCTTCTCCCCAATTCTCCGACTAGGCTTCAGCCTTGACACGTGATGATGCTTGTCTTGCAGCTCGGCTTGATTCTCCTTTGCCTGGAGGGCTCAAGAAACGAGCCACATGTTCACCGCAAGTCTCGATTGATCTCCACCCTCATTGGCCTCTTTCCCGTGATCGGCCTTTTCCAACAAGTTCTGGGATTGATCCAGAGCAATCACATGAGAGAAGCGGCGGCTGAGTCCGCGAAGCCACAGGCCTGGAGAGTATGACAGCATCTTAAACTTACCCCTATGTTAGATTGGCACTGGGAATGATGATTTATGTTGATTTTACTTGGGGGGACCCCCTAACTGGCCGAGTACTCACAAACCCCTGCCTCTCAATTCCTTTCTTCCGACGCATAGATTGTAGGGTGGCTGGGTGTTCACTTCCCCCAATGCAACAAAAGTCGTAGCCCGCAATTTCTCTTGCCAGTTTTTCAATCTTTTCCATCAGTTTCATGTCTGTTAATGTCCGCTCTCATTGGTTCCCGCCCCATCCAGACCTGAAGCATGCCCTCTAAATTAAACAACCCCTCCTCCAATTATATAGTTTCTTCCGCAACATCTCACACTGGGAGATGCCAATTAATTGCAATTTTCCAACTTCTCGGAGAAGAACACATAACAGTTGATTAAGCAACACTGTTAGCTGAGCACAGTCATAAATACATAGTATATATATGTTTATGTAGTGGTTGACATATATACATACATCCAACAAATCATTTTGTATAGAATCAACTTAAACATGTCCCTTCAAAATCAACTCACACATATTCAAAACCTTGAACAATTCTTTGGACTGCATGACCTGTGCAACCCCTTTCCATGTCTGAAGCGCCTGGCCCGCAGCCCGCATCGATGGCCAAAAGATTGTCCCCAGGGATGAAGCCCTCAGGTACTTCCTCGTGTCGCCCTGAAGGCAAAGGAAGTCCGCGGCTGTGGGGGGCCCACACCTACCAACATTTCCAAACTGGGAAATATATATATATATATATATATGGACATATGATATAATTGATATACAGTATCAAAATGTGATCTTTTGATCCTTCTTTATCATAAGCAATTCCCTCTGGCGTTGCTTGGCTCCAGTAGGATTCTAGCCTTTTGCAGCACATTCTCCATGACCAGGTGTGCACACTCCATTCTGCCAGTTCTGGCCAGCTTGCGCCCGCTTCGCAGCTGCATCTATCTCGTCACGAATGATGCCCTGAGACAAATGAGGCTGGTGATGGGAAAGAAAAAAGAACAGCACACATAGTGGGAGTGGTATGCCAAATTGGCTTGGCTTGACCCCAAACATTTCAAGCTTTCCCTGTACAAACACATCGACTTGGCCTTGTCCTCTTCGCTTGACTTGTAAATATCCTTCCAGGGAATGAACAGCGACCCAACGCCCCAGCAAGGACATGCAACCAAATGCATGCCTGAAAAATGTCATGCCGTGTCCAAAGCACCTCTTCATATGTCTGAGCACGCCTTTGCCAGTAGTCATAACTTCCAGCATCTGGCCTGTGGATTGCTCGTGTTGGAGTCTAACATCTGAGCGTGCAAGCCATTCGTCTGGCTTTCCCTCATCAAACAAATCATGGGACCTGCCAGAAAAAAGTCTTGGTCAATCAAATTACTCTGGAAATGCCGCCCTGAGGCCTCTGATCCTCTGCGAAACCTTGTGGCACAAGCATGGAACTTGCCAAAACATGGACAAGTAGCCTGTTGGAAGAACAAGCACGGACAACGGATTTTTGCTTCTCAAGTCAAGCACAACCCAAGAGCAACTCAATCTCAAATCTCCAACAAGCAAGTAACTTTCAAGTTCTCGCTGCTTGAAGCACTGCAAATGCTTCTGTGATCACTCTCCGACTCCTAAATGCTTCTGTGCAGCTGCTGTGGTGCACATCTCCCAACGGCAGCAGCGTCTTCAGTATATGCCCAAGGCGGCCCATCGCGCACAGGCAACAGCGGCCACGGCTGTTACTCGTGGCATCGAAACAAAGTCAAAGGCCAATGCTAGTAACTAATAGGATGATCTAATAGGCTAGCGGCTAGGTCTCCAAAATCATAGACAGATTGGCATCCCGAGGAAAAGCTGACAACCATCCATGAAAGGACGACTTACCCCTTTGTTAGTAATGATATGTGCTCTAGTTGTCAGGAACCAATGACGTGACAGCAGCAAATTGCGGCAAGGAAGAACTCACCGATGGACGATCGAACGGTCTCGGATCGACGATCGAACTGGTTCTCGTGTGGCTTGCATCGCAGGGGCTGGAAGACGGTGGTTCCCAGGAACAAGCTGCTGGAGTTGGCAAACTCATGCATGGCCTGGAGTGCGGCCAAGCGCGGGCTCACATGTGCTCGTGCCTCTCAACACAACTGAAGGGGGAAAACATAGGGAAAGCTAATCTTCTCCGACAATGATCTCGTCTGGACAAAGTGACGGACTAGGTCAAACTCATCTGACATCCTGGTTCTTGCCCTATTCAAATTCAAGTCCAGTGACTTCAGTGACTGCAAAATGCCAGCACCCCTCGGTCACATCAAGTGCTACGAGTACTGCATCAATGCTCCTGGATGTCATTCTTCAGCACGTCTTGCGTCTGCCCAAGATCTCCAAATTCGCCGATAAACCAGGGCCTGGCAAACCAATGAATGCCATGACTCTAAACCTACTTCTAAACCTCTAAGAAACACATTCATCTTCCTGGAAGGTCTGGATGTAAACATGACTTACACCCCCACCTGTTTCCAAAAGGACCGTAGTTCTTGGTGATGGTCTCTTTCACGAAGGCTCAGGTAGCACTGACGTGTTTCTGTGACGTGCCAAGGTGCACCAATTCAAGCGCAGAATTCTTCGGGGCAAAGGAGGAAAAAACTGCCTTTTCCTGTGACAATGGTTGCACTTAACCAGCCAAGCTGCTCCAAGGGGCTTGCACGTTGAGAGCGTTTACCCACCTGATGTAAAAACATGTGTCCTTTTCCCAGCTTCTACCTGGCTCGCCTGAGGAATTATAGGATTTTTAGGAGTTTAAGTTTATATACCTCCATTAGGCATATGTGCTGACACTAGCTCTTGCAGCTGGATAGATTTGCATTGCATTGTCCACCAGTCATCCCTGCATCTGCAGCCACAAATACAATTTGGTGCATTAAAAATGCCTTGGTGCCCTGTGTTAATTAAAGCCATGCAATTTTACCAGCTATATAATCACATAGGAGTTGGGGCTTGTAGTTCTTGAGAGTTGTCCTAGGTTAGTTCCCAGTCATGTGTGCAATCAGTGTTATATAGCCTGAACAAGTGGAAACACATGGCATGCACGTGAGATAGGACTTAACCCTCCAAGATATATAGTCAAAATCAGGAAAACACATCTAAGTTCGATGCACTCCCACAGCAGTTAAGACACATGCCTTCATACTCCTGTGCAACCAAAGCCGCATGACATAAAATGGTCTTTAATTAGCAAGTCGTTGGTCAACTTTCTTGATTGTCGGTGACCCTTGGGGCAGGCATGGCTCATCAAACACCCACGTCTGTCCGTGATCTGGCAGTCGATCATACATCGTTTCCATGCACCTTTTGTTGAAGGCATCTGCAATTTCTTTGACCTCAGTGCATGACTTCCGATGTGTCTCTCTCGTGGCGCTGGAATTCCAAGTGCTAGGCTGGGGTACGAGGAATGTACTTGGCAATTGATGCATTCTCGATCACTGCAAGCATGTCCTGGCAGTTTCCGGTGGTTGGCTACTTACTTTCTATGATGTGTATGAGGATGTTCACAGGAATTGATCAACGTCTTTCAGAGTTTGGGTCAGCTCCTGGAACCCGAAGTATCCCGGGCAGTTTTTGCACTTTCCTGGCTGATCCAATGGAGCTAAGCACAAAGCTCGGCTCAGTCACTCCACACTGGGATCGAGCCAAGTCTCCATCGATAGAGTCAAGAGCCGCAAAGGACCATGTGGTTGTAAGGTTTACACCTAAGATCGCCACCCAAATTGCTGCAGCCAAACACCCACAAGGACCGAAACTGAACACGTGCCAACAACTCGTGCTTCGAACGTCGCAGAACGAGTTGGTACCTCCATTCCTCGTGCGGCACGGCAGTTCTCGTCGCCTCGGCACGGCCTGCGCTGATGTTCGCCTCCTTCTCTGCCGCCAGCAAACCATCCAGTGCCGAGATCGCCGCCTTCACCCGGCCTAAGTGGAGCTGAAGAAACAGAATGGCCACAGTCTCAAGCGATAACGTGAAATCAATTTAGGAACAAGAAGCTACTAGGGGCTCCTGGCCTTACTACTAGGAACAAGGATGCTACTAGGAGCAAAGGGCATCGCTACTAGTTACTAGGACGCTACGAACGGGGCTCCGAAATGAATCGAATTGTGTAGATCGATCTCCACAGGGCGAAGGGTGGCTCCCAAAAAAGCGTTCACATCATGTCACCAGACTGGATACCTCGCCTCTCGTCGCGCTCCCACATGCATAGCATGCAAAGCATGCCACTAGAAACACAAGGCTCACACGGAAAAATCTCTCGGTGCAGCCTCAGGGGCACCAAGATGCCTTCTTGGGGCATTTTGGATCGTTGCCAAAAAAGTCAGGCTCCTGAACCCACATTGAGGCTGGTTCACCAGGAGGTTCGAAGGCTTGAAGTCTTCAACTACTCACAGGTTCTGTTCAAATCAGTTGTTGGCCTCTTGATAAGACAAGGTGCATTGAAAAGAATCACAGTGTGGATTGCAGGGTGCCATTCTTTGCCTGCAAGCGGCACTTTTGCCAAGCACCCAGGACTGTGGATGAGAAGGTCACCCTTGTTCTCTCGCGGTCAGCACCACTCACAGTCTCTCCGTGGGCTCTACAGTCTTGCCATTTGGTCCGCTGTCCATTCTGGGATAATACTCCAAACTGAAAACTACTTTGGTGATCCTGCCCTTTGCAGTTGGGGAGGCAAGTGTGCTAAGAAGGTTTGCTACTGCATTTCCGCATTATGAATAATGCGCCAATGCAACGCACTGAAACCAGAACTGCACAGGCTGAAGTGACATGTACAAACTACACAAAACCAAAAAACACATCAAGAAAAGGGGAAACGGCTGCCGCACCCTTTGCAAACCCCACGGAAAATCCAGTCTTGATCACCTTAGCTGGTTGCAAGTAGCGATCGGATAATTGACACAATCAAGCAATAACACGTGATAGCAAGTGTAGCTTCATTGACAGTTACATACTGTTGATGGAAGAATGCACCACGTGGAAATACCCATCACATCGCAAATAGAGTTCCGTCCCTGGGCTGGTGCCAGGACCTCTTCCATCAATAGTCACATCTTTTTCTTAGGTATCGCTGAGCCAAGTCTCCTCCTTGACCGTCTCATAGCAATCAAAGTCGGTGCAGTTGTGAATCGCCAAATCCGAATCAACTCCCGGCAAAACACTCAAGCCTCCCAATGGAGCGTTTGTCTGCTTGTCTGCTGAGGTAGCATCAATTAGCGATGTGGCTGTGTGGCTAAGGTCAATTATACCAGACCCCAAACAGTTTCAAAACGATTCGTTGGGACCAATATTGGTCAAACATGATTTCTTAGTACACCCTACCTTCCCCCCAAGAGCAAATTGCTTAATCAATGATTTTTGTCGGCATCAACCTCGCTAATTGTTCGACCGCAAGAGACGACAAGAGAAGAGCAGGACAAAAGAAGACAAGAGGAGGACAAGACCCGGCCACAGAGCCCGGCCACAGAGCGCGGCCACAGAGGCCAGGGGCGCGGCCAGTCAGTGCGGCCAGCTCTTTTTGTCTAAGATAGATAGAACCCCAACAGTAAACTGTTTGGGAAATAAAATGTCAATAGCCAATAGATGCCAATAGCATCCAATAGCCATGTCAACATCCAACTGGCGTAAGCCGCACGACAAAGTATGTAGGCCAAGCAGCCATTGCTGTGAGCTGCATCCAGAAAACTGCCTGAGTTGGAGTTGGCTGCGGTATGACTTCTCTTTAGCCCCAACCAATAGTTTTAGACATGTTTTGAAGTCTACTTTAGGGGCTGAAGGCATGTTCCGCTTCCTACAAATCATACAAATCAAATGATGATTGCCCGAGCACCAGCTCCCCGAAAAGGTCCTTCCTAACTAACGATGGTCTTTTTGGGGGTTTGTGTGCTGGTTTTATCTAGTTTTGACAGTGGTGCCTTTTCACCCTGGTCGTTAGCAAACATAACTAACCTTCAGCAAGCGCGAGCATTTGTTTTACGCGCCGTTCACGCACCGAGGCATCATAGGTGATCGCTACTAGTAACAAGAAGCTACCAGGGCTCCTGGCCTTACTACTAGGAACAAGAAGCCATTAGGGGCTACTGGCATCGCTACTAGGAGCATGGACGCTACTAGGCTAAGGGTGGATTCACGCTAAAGGCGACTGGGATCATGGAGTGGTCCCTTGACAAACGTGACATGTCGGTCCGTGCCTTTCTGCGGGCAAGTGGCCGTGGTCAGTTCGTGGCCCATACCCGAAGGAATGGTAAAGACGGATAGCATTGCCTCCTGCGTTTGCTGGACACTTTCATCGAATTGAGCTGGTAGATGTGAATCTCTGAGTACCGCGCCAAGCTTCTTGATGACATCCAGATCGTTGCGGCCCTCTTTGCCCCACTGCTCCTTGTAGCCAAGCCTTGAACCGAGCCACGAAGGAGCGAATTCATATGCCGACGCCGAATTGGACTTGGGAAGTCCCCTGAGCCTGCGGTCTTCGCTTACTTGCACTTGCTGTCCATCTTAGAATCTCTTAATTACTTGGCTTTAACTTTAACTCATATAGCAATCAAGAGCAATCAGGCCTTGAACCAGTTTGTTTGAAACATTGTCCCAGCAACATGTTTGTGACTAAAACCTCATGAGACATTGAGCAGTTGGACAACGAAACCGAAGGAACGCAGCCTACGCTTGGCTGCTCGTGCAGAACATCTAAGCTAGTCATCTCGGATCCGAGCAACTGCATCACATCATTGTTTGGCAACTTGTCTTTGCAGGAGCCGGTAGTGCATGGCAACCTCGGTTAAGCCACAGCCTTAAGTACCAATCGTTAAAGTAGCTACTATCATTATGCCAACCCCTTAAGCCCTAAAGGTTTACAAACAGCTGAGCCCACTTTTACTTTCTACCTGTTGACCTGCACGGAAGCAAAACATGGCCTTTTGGAGCACGGCTTTACTCCATTCTCCTCCACTTCCATATCTTGGAGATGGAAGTCATCAGTGCACGGTCGGTAGACCTTACTCTTTCACCTCTTAGTCATCAGTGGCCCGTCCGAAAAAAAAAAAAATCCCCACGTGTGTTGTCCCATCCAAGGTGCGGAGCATACGCCACAGCCCGCAAAGGTCCAGTGAAAATGGGCGGAGGAGAAGGGGGCGAAGGAGTCACACCTGACGATTTGGTACTTGGAAGTCGCAAGCGACAGCGGACAGCGGTGGGAGTTTTGAAGTCTGGCGGGATGGGTCGATTGTCACAGGATCTCGCAAAAAGCTTTGAGCGTCGCAAAGATGAGAGGTCAAACTTGTAAAGCTCTGTGTGTGATTGTGTGTGTGAGTCTCGAACTCTTCTCAATGGCACGGTGAAGGCAAGCGATCTCTTTAACTCTCGTCCTACTCTCGTTTGAGCTGCGCCTCCTGAGTTATGAGCCACTGCTAGTACCACAGCCACCACAATGGCGACCAGGATGAGGAAAGCGCATATGGGGAGCACCAGCTTCCGCCATGGATCTTGACACCTGGCAGCTGTCGAACATGCCACCAACGGTGCACTCAGATTGCCAAAGGGTTGTCGAACTCCCTGGATTCAACTGGAGCTACAACAATGGGCCGTTGCCCGAGCATCCCATCACATGTTGACGCTTCAGGGGCCACTTCGGATTGCAGCGATCAAGACATTCCTGCTTCAGGAAACCCATTGGCAGACTCTTGGAATTTGCTACTGCACTTCATGCACCGTCTGGCTTCCCACCCCCCAAAAAAGGCATAACTTCTGCTGAGTACTCACAGTCGTCTGTCTTTTCTGACTCGGGTGAGTACCTGCGTTCAGAAAACTCGCCGCATCGCGTCGAGTAGACGAGCCACACGAGCGCGTCGAGTCAAGAGATGCAACAGCATCATGTCCCTCCATTCTTCAAGAAGGAGGACAGCTGTGCGCTGGGCAAGTGAAAATGACAGCTCTACGCTTGCAACGGGCGTCCCATGTCCCAGTTCGCGCCCATGTGCTTGCTTCTGCACAACCAGGCGCAGTTGTTGGTGAGGTGTTACCCTTGGATACCCTTGGGCAGCACCACTAGCTTGTATTTTGCAGGATTGGTGAATGCATTTGGAGTTGCTTGGTGCAAATCCGAGAAGCTGGGTGAGCACTGACATCAAAAAACCTCTAGAAGCTGTTGCAGCTCCAACATGCTCCAAGCCTGCTTCTCCATCACAGCAACCAGTTGTCAAATCAAAACAGTTAGCAAAACAGTATGCATCAGCTCTGCGTCAACAAGTTCTTCGGATCTAATCTGGGTGTCCTGCTCAGTAATTGACTTGAACACCCATCGGGCTGCTGGCTTCCAAAGACATGAAAAGAACAAACAACCACAGGCAACGCACTTGCTTGAGAACTCTCTGGAGGCCAACTCCCAGTTGATGGCTCTCAGCCGAATCATGAGGTCTTCTGCAAAATCTGCCTCAAGTACTTCACCTGAACGAGCTGGAAGCAGGGGTGGAACGTCCGCAGTACAAAGGCACACGGTGATACGTATATCGATATGCAACTATTATAGTTAATACTAATACATTACTAAATGTTATATATATATATACAATGTTATATACTGAGTTACTGTATATAGTAATATGTAATTATATATATACATAAAATATGCAATTTAGTGTATAAGTTAAATATAAGGCGCCAATCGCAAGGTACAAGGAAGGGCTGCAAGGACTGAAGTTATGTGAAACTGACATCACACTCAAAGACAGAACCTCGTCTTCATGGGAGACCAGGAGCTGAAAGTTGAGCATCCTTGGAGTGGAGTAATTTGAGCAAGTGACATGAGTGCATTGATTGCTGAAGTGTAGAGTATTGTAGAGTAGCTGTTTGGCGGAGTGTCCAGAGTGCTTCCAGCAAGGGATGGTTGGCATTTTTGCTATTGGACAGCCAACAAGGGAAAAACTAGTAACAAGTGCATCGCTACTAGTAACAAGGTCATTACTACTAGATACTACTAGTAACAAGAAGCTACTAGTAGCAAAGGGCATCGCTACAAACGAAGCGATCGGACGCGACTCGAACGGGGCGCTGGCCTTACTAGTAGCCTTAAAGCTGCACCGCCAAGGTGCGAAAAAACACTGAAGAGTGCTGTGTCCATCTTCTTCGGGGTACAGTACTTCCGGAAAATGTGCCTGTGCCACTCGCCTGTGCTGGACACTTGATTTATCGGACGGCCGACCTGGAACTAGTAACAACAGAAATCCTACCCCATTTGCAGAACCACAGACATAATATGACATAATATTCTGCCTACAAACTCATACAGGATGTTACAGTTACAGGAGTGCTTCCTCAAACTCGACGGTATAGTTGGATTAGTAGGTCTGGGAAGCATGCGGAAGCTTCTCTGCTATTGTCTGCCAAGGTCACGTAGCGGGCAGGTCTCATCGAGAAGGAAGCCTGTGAGCAAGCTTTCACCAAAGATTCTGTGCCTTGCTGGCTATACTGACTATTCTTGTAACATATCTTTCCGCCTTGCCAAACGTGAAGCTTTCGCTTTGGCGGAAAGAGAGCCGTCATGTCAGCCAGTATGCAGTATCAGTCTACGTGAAACTCATCTCTATAGAGATCTAGAGTATTCAATTCCAGAGCAACTATATAAACAAATTCAGAAAAGGAAGGTGCAGTACCTCTTTGGGCCACCAATGATTCGAGTTCCGAAACCGCATATTGGGAGCATTTGCACAGCCGCCAAGCTGGATGGTCCAAGCTGGTTCTCAGGAGCCAGCTTTGCGCCAGGAATGCCAGCAGAATGTAAATGTGCACGGCCTCAAGCAGGAGTTTTAACCATGTCATGCCTCAAGCAGGGTCCGGTTACCAAATTTGTTTCAATAACAATACATTTCTTGTTTACGGGGGTCAGGGGTCCAGTAGGAGCAAGGACGCTACTAGGGGCTCCTGGCCGTACTACTAGGAACAAGAAGCTACTGGGGGCTCCTGGAATCGCTACTAGGAGCAAGAAGCTACTAGGAACAAAGGGCATCGCTACTAGGAGCAAGGACGCTATTAGGTTGGAGGCCATTGCTAGTTTAAGGGGGTCCATTCTTGCCACAGGACCCATTTGTGTGTGTGTGTGTCAAAGTTTTCTCAGCCTCAGTATCGCCCAGTAGTCCAGCCATGTGCGGGAAAACTCGTCGGGCATAAGAGCAGGCGTAGCAGAAGCATAGGACCTTAACTCATGATGACTTCTGCATGTTGGGCTCTCCTTTATGATTTTGTGATATTTTGTGTCAGAAAGCTCTAGACACAACAAAGTCGCAACAACTTGATCTGAACATGCACAGGCTAAGAGCAAAACGATATCATTAGAGCAAATATGGCAAGCACGAAGCAAACAAATGGTCTGGTGCACCTGAAGTCAACAAATGGTCGGCACAAGCTGGCACATGGAGTGACTTTTCGTCAAACATGTGACCTGCGATGTTTCAACTCTTAGCAATATATATATATACATATACACATTTTAAATTCTGCCCTCCAACCTAATAGTGATGGCCTCCAACCTAATAGTGATAGCCTCCAACCTAATAGCGATGGCCTCCAATCCTAGTATGCTTCAGGCACCTGGCTCATTGGGCTTGTTTTCACCTTATTGAAAACCAACACCTCCAAGCCATCTTTAATCGAAAACACATTGACAACAAACAAACCTATCAAAATCCAACAAAACCACAATCCGACGCACATGTCTCAAGTCTGACCATTTCATACCATTTCCGTTCAAGCGCCTTTCTTTGCAGCAGGTGTCGGTTCATGACCATTTCGGTCTTCTGCCCCTGAGCTTGTAAAATGATGCCCTGCACCACCATCCTCAGCTCATCAATTCGGCTTCTGGCATCGGCCATGAGCCTTCAGTTTTGGTTAAGATTGAATTGAAGGAAGGGTCCAAGCCATCCGGATGAAGACTGATTGAAACAGGCTACTGACAGGCTGACCTCAAACAAGACCTCAAAGAATTGCACATCTGGTTTCTCATACAACTGAGCAGCGCAATCTGCCACGACAAAGTCTCATCGTGCTCAATCTTGGGATGCCTTACTTACGTAGCTCACTTCAGTCCATTGCCAATGTGTGAGTGATGCACGACGCCCAGCAGCAATCACAATCACTCAAGCGATTGAATAAGGATGAATAATATATTGACTTTCGGGTAACCGCTCGCCTCTTTGCATCATTTGGCAGAATCAATCCACTGCTGCAGTCCTCTGATAGGTGCAAACGAAGCTCGTTGTTGCATCAAGGACTGACGGCGATTCATGTACTGTACGTTACGAATTGGCGTGCAATCGAATCTATGACATGCGCTCGAACTGTAATTACTCGGTTCTCTGAAACTACCAAGCAGCCACTCAAAAACATCCCTAACCATCTCTTGTGGACTTGACTTCCTTCATCTGAGGCGTCTCAGAGGTTGTAGAAGGACTGGAGTTGATGCCATCAGAGGCTATAGGAGAGTCTCCAGCACAAGGCAACCTCAGCGTCTCGACGCGGTTCTTGGACGGTGCTCTACCATGTCATCAGCGCCGGCGCTCAAACACAGAGTGCTTCTCCCATGCCATGCCCGTTTTCGCAAGGAGCACTTGGAAACTCTTGGGAACCATAAGAACAACATCAATTCAACACAAGAATCTGGTCATCCGTTAAATGTGCACACAAGATAAACACACACGAAAGGCGCAAACTTGTCGCATAGTCATTTAGTAGCCCAGCCACATCTGTGCAGGATAATCTGGCATGGAATATTTTCGCA